ACAGATTAGAAACAGCAGGAGAGCTGGGTAGTATGACTACAATACCAGTAAGGACACTTGTCTTCGTGGCACTGCTCAAGTGATTCTTGGAATGCAGGACCCCGCTGTTTTCTAATATTTACACACAACTGGAGTCATCGCAAGCAGTAAATGCAGTCTAAAGGCGGCATGCTTCTTTTGTGTAAGGGACTTTACATTCAAATAGGGATATCAACAATAACACCCAAAAAAAGAAAAAGAAAAAAAACACCACCCATTTTAAAGTTTCCTATTTCCCCTCAATTTTGTCACTAAAAGACCAACCAGAGATGATCAGGGCTGGAGTCCCAAATTTTCCATGTGCATCATACAGTTCACTGGGAACAGCAGGTGTCTGGGATCCCTGACCTCCCAATTGTGTTTTTGCAGGCTGTGGTTCTCTGACCTCTACCACAACAGACCAGCCTGGGAAACCATTCTGATCCCTCGTTAGGAACACTTTGCATGACATAGCAGTGAAGACATACCTTCAGAACAGCAGCACCTGGAATACAACTGCTTTTCAAATGCTTAGTTAAAACTTTGGAAAAGGAAAAACAGTAACGTTTGCAGTGGCTGTATGCACATCTTAAGAAACATCTTAACAATCTTTTCTCAATTGCAACAGTAGGGTAAATTACAATTGTATTTATTTAGTCATGGGGCTTGGACTCAGGAAAAAGTCAGCCAAACACAATACAGGATTTCAGTCATTAGTCCATAAACAGAACCAATACAAAAAAGAAAAGAGAATGCTTAGTTTACAAACAAAGAGTTGTCCAAGTTTACTAGAATTTTTTTTTAAATTACCCTAGTACCAAATAACAAAATTAACAATGTTTTATTTGGGCTTTGTAACAAAAATACAGCAACCATACTCATTTAAATGCTCACAGTTCTCAAGTCCAAGGTCACAGCAGGGCAGATGCTACTCCTGTGAGGGCCTTTGCCTGAATTGCCAAGGGCTATGCATTAGCGCTCTGACAAAATCCCATTCACCAGGACTCCACCCTCAAGTCCTAATACCTCCCTTCCTAGGTACATCTAATCCATCACATAGACCTGGGTAAGAAAGCATAGAGGATGATAGGAGGCAAGCAAGGGACTTCCACTGATTGGGCAAGGTGTGAATTGGTAAAGCTTCAGCAAAATAATCTCATAATATGAATCTATCTGGCAACTTTCCACTTCACAGTCTTGGACCCAGGGATTTGCTTTTGTTTTAGAATACTATTAAAATTACGCTATGACTGAAAACAAGGAAACAGGAAAATACCCTAAATCCATAAGAACAAAACCATGAAAACAAAATTATATTCAACATTATTTGTAATAATATGAGAAATACTGTTAGCTTTAAAATGCAGAATATAAAGTTTTACTAAATAATAAAAAGACTAAATCTATAGGGAAAAGAAGAAGAAAATATGAAAAGGTTAGCAGTGGCTGCCTGTGGCTTGTATGACTTATGCATTCTAAATTTTCCATAATGACCATACATTATCAAATTTGTTAATCAGAATACGGTAAAGCCTACTTTGTTGATTTATTCTTAGCTTGGACCAAGCTTGGGGGAGTGGGGGGGGGGGCAGGAGGGAGATATCAGGGAGATGAAATAGTGTGTGTGTGTGTGTGTGTGTGTGTGTGTGTGCTCGCGCGCGCGTGGGTGTGCATGTGCACTCGTCACTGGTCCTGGGGCTTAAACTCAGGGCCTAAACACTGTCCCTCACCTTTTTCTGCTCAAGCACTAGCTCTACCACTGGAGCCACAACTCCATTTACAGTTTTTTTGGCTGGTTAATTGGAGAGCAGTCTCACAGTCTTTCCTGGCCAGGTTGGGTTCAAATTGCCATGCTCAGATCTCAGCTTCCTTCCTGAGTAGTTAAGATTCCAGGCCTGAGCCACTGGCACCCAGCTTAAATGAATTTTTAGAACAAAAATTTTAACTCCCAAGACACATTACATAGCTTGGTTGATGAGAGATTCTGTGAGGTCCTGCAAAGTCATCAGTTGTGTTAAAATCATTTTGTGTTCTGCTGAATTCCCTACCTTTAATTTTGTGGAAATCTGCCTGCCAAGGAGCAAACAGTGCCTTCAAAGCAAGGTAGAAGTGAATGCGATTAATTACAGAGATAAAGTGAAAATCTGAGATTTGCTGTCAAGGGCAGAAGTGTTAACTGGAAATTCACAGAGCTCCAACAATACGTTGAGCAGTTCCAGGGACTGGAACTGTATGCCTGTGGACACCAAGGGTCTACTACAATAACAATGGAACTCTAAAGACTAAACATCAAAATGCTCAGTTATACATAGGCAGACAGAAATTACTTCTATTTTCCCCACTAATTTCTTGCTATGTAATTTGGATCTTTATGTGCACCTTTAATTTAGTAATTGAAAGTCAGTTTTAAAATAGTAAAACTCAGGGTTTTATCTCAACAAGCCACCGTTAAAAAAACACTGAGAAGCTATTTTACTTTGGGGCTTAGTGGGGACCAAAGATTTATCAGCTGCTTTGCAGAAAATGGAGAACACACTGGAATGTTCTTGAGGGAAGGACAAGAGGGCACTATGGGTGCTGACCCTCAACAGACAATAAAGCCCCCACAAAATCCTCAACAGAATGGCAACAAAGGACAGGACTAATGGCACCTAAGACACCACAGAGCCAGGAAGCTGGACTCAAGGGGAAATGAAGACAGCAAATCCACTCCACTCAAGACTGGGAAGAAAATAAAAAATAAGGCAAGATAAAACTAAGAAATATGAAACTAAAAGGGCAAAACATCTCGAATGACAAGGAGGCTGCTTAACCATGTCTTAAAAATAAAGGCTGTTGCCACAGGAAGAAAGCACACAGAATGAGGGGCAGAGCTGGTAAATCAAATGGGCTACTTCTGGCTAGTAGTTTTTCATTAATTTCTGTAGCCTTGCCAATATAGTAACATTTGAGAAAATGTCAGCACTTGTTTAAAACAATATGTGAGGAAATATTTGTTTCCTTAATATTTAACCAACAGGTTTTGCTATATTTTGTGTTTTGAAAACTAAAAAAAGCTAAGGCATATATACAAAACACGCCACACACATTGTATCCTATTTTAAGCACCAATGTATTTAAAACAGAACTCCAGAGTTGATTTAGGTGTGAAAAATAAACTTAGGACACAACACTGATGAGTATGAAAATCCATATTTTCAAGAAGCAGGGGTCTCTGGCCCAAACCTAATTTTCTGTTCTGTAAATGCAGAGCTCGTAGGTCTTCAGGAGGCCTGCAGATCTGAGTCTGCAGATCTGAGTTGCGTTTTTACTGTATGTCCATTACAGTGCTAAAATACTTCACATGACAACTAAATATTCCCACCAGAGAGCCAAAAATTCATTACTGGTGCTATTTTCACCATTTCTCAAACCTTGGACATGTCTATGTCCATGGCCCACTTACATGATTATTTACTCGATATGTTCTCCAATCAATTTGTCTTATAAAACTGAAATACTTTGGGAGGGTCGGGTGAGAATGTTGAAAGGGGTACCACTGATCAAGGCACACTGCATTCATAAATTGCTTTGTTGAATGGCAGCTCCTTTCTACAACTACTTAAGGACAACAAAAATTTAAAAAACAACAACAACAACACTGAAATACCTACTTCAGGTTTGCCCTAAGCACCACACACATACACACATACACACACTCTCTCTTTCTCTCACTCTCTTTCTTACACACACACACACACACACACACACACACACACACACACACACACACACATACACACAATTTTTCCCCTCAGGTCGTGGGACCTAAACTCTGGGCCTGGGCACTGTCCCTCAGCTCTTCAGCTCAAGGCTAGCACTCTACTGCTTGAGCCACAGTGCCACTTCCGGCTTTTTTCTGCTATGTGGTGCTGAGGAATCGAACCCAGGGCCTTATGCATACAAGGCTACCACTCTACCACTTCCCAGCCCCACATAATTATTTTTTTATAGTGTTAAGGACTGAACTCAAGGCCTCACATACTAGGAAAGCACTCTACCTCTAAGCTACATCCCCAACTCTGTTGGGGATCTTAAAATTCCTAAACATCTAAATACCACTCCAAGTGAAAAGGTGTCCAATGCCAACTTGTTTGTTGTTGGTGATGGTGATTGTAGGACCTGAACTCTGGGCCTTGGCACTGTCCCTCAATTCTTCTGCTCAAGGGTAGCACTCTACCACTTGAGCCACAGTGCCACTTCTGGCTTTTCCTGCTTATGTGGTGCTGAGGAATCGAAACCAGGGCCTCATGCATGCAAGGCAAGCACTCTACCACTGAGCCACCTTCCCAGCCCTCAATGACAATTTTTTTTAACAAAGTAAACTTTGAGAAATATATCTTGCCCATAAATGTTAAAAGTCTGAGATTCTGTTCCCAGGTAAAGGAAATACTATATTAAAATTTTCTAATCACTAAAACTCAACAGTGTTTGTTTTCCTATACAAATACCATTTGCTACAACAACAAAACTTATAAGCAAATAATCGGTGAACAAGAGCTGTACAAATCTAGCTCATGGACACAACTTCCTTAACAGAAGCCAGGCTTGGCACAGTCTGTGACTGCACTTGACAATTTCTCACCCATCTTGTTGTAGAACTGGTACACTTTCTTGATCCCGTGTCCTCTAACTTTTCTCCACACAGATGTGTATTCTGGCCCTTTTTTGAAGCTTCTGTCTCATCAGTGAATACTCAACAAATGCTGTGGTGAAGAACAAAATCAATACAAACCAAACTTCATTGCCACAACAAATTATGTATTTGTATTGAGCCAAGGAGACCTTAAAGTGTTGCATATCCTTAACAGTGAAGACTTGTCAAACATTTCTACCCACTCTGAGAAACGCACAATGATTAGGAAAGTCTTGTACATACATACTTCAAATCTCAGCCATGTACACATTGGGATAAGGTAAAGAATAGCAATCTAAGACTTTGCAATTTCATAAATTAGTCCTCAATAAATTGTACAAAATATCCATTTTAATAAAAGAATTTGTTTTCAAAAAAACAGGTATTTAATTATTACTCCCACCCCACAAGAACTCACATGAAATAAAACAAAATAGAAAAAGAGAAAAAGTCAAACAAGCAGAAAAGTCGATTTCCAGCATTTGAGTTACTTCTGGACTCTCTTTCTGGTTCTTGAACCTTAAAAATCAAAGAAATTTAAATAACCAATCATTAATTGATAAAAGCAAGAGAACAGCAATACAAACACTGTTAGACAGTTATTAATATTTTAAGACACTAATTGACTGATGGGAGCATGTTACAATCCTAAAACTGTTAGCAAACTGTGTCCATTATTCTAATACACAAAAGTATAAACTTACAAACTCTACTCCTAACCTTAACTGCTAGCTCTTCCACTGGTAAAATACTGAAACACCAATATACACTGCTACTGAACTACTTCCTTCAATTTCATTACTACAAAAATTTCAATCACTAGCGCCAAATATCAACTGTGGCTACAAGCATTTATTCTTTGGGAGATACTGAGGTCACACTTGGTATGAAAAGCAAGTACTTTTATTCTAAAATGAGCTGCTTTTTAAAAGCCTATTTCTTTTTTTCTAGAATTTTTTTTATTGTGAAAATACCATACAGAGGGATTATATGGGCAAGATAATGAGTACATTTCTTATCAAGCATTGTTGCCTCCTCCTTTGTTTCCCCTTCCTATCCCTTCCCATCTCCCCTCACCCTGCCCACCACCCCGCCCCCGCTAAAGTTGTAAAGTTCATTTTTCAACATAACGACTTGTACATCTCATTGTTGCAATGGGTCCTAGGCATCAGAGCACCGAGGTATGTTAAAAAGGAAGTCTCTTTCACTAGAAAATCACAGCTGGTCCTGGTCTAAGGCTACTATAAATAGCTCCTATCCAACTTTTCCAGGGTTGGAATTATTAAGGGATTCTCAGTGTGTGTGTGGGGGGGGGGGGAGATGTTTCTTCCTCACCAAAGAGGCTACTCAACCCCCCCTCCCCCACCTATGCATCTCCGCCTGACCACACTGCCTAGTGCAGGCCCACCAGTGTGGCCATTTTGCTCCCTTGAGCTGTGGCTGTGAGCTGGGTTCTCTCTCCAGGAAGCAGCTGGGCACCACAGCAATGGGCATCCTGGCCGGCTGTTAAGTGACAAACACAAGAACAACAAAGAGCCAGCATTTTTCCTGTGAAAGTCACATACCATGTCACACAACTGACATATGTATAATACTAAATACTTTTTAGTTGCTTTCTGATAATGGGTTTAAATTGTTACTTAATTGGATGATCAGTTTAAAAATGAACATTTCTTTTTATTTTCAAGTTATAGTTTCAATTTAATTGTGAAACAGTTCAAATTTTAAATTCCTGCCATTCAAAACATATGCTATGGATGACGTAACAATCTGAGGTTTCTCTTTAATTTCTGTGATAAGCTATTAAAAATAAGCATAGTGGATTTTTAGCATTTTATCTGGAGAATTTTGAAGTTAATTCTGCACAGAAAAATTTTTAAATGGTGTTTTAGATTGGTGTCATGGGATATCACAAACCAAGGTCAAAAAGAGATCTTCTTACTGTATCAGCCTTTCAAATACCAAGGCCATCCACACACAACAAAGAGCACTAATTCAAACAGCACCATAATCCCCTCACTTGGCATTTTGCTCTTAAATACTGCTGTTTATTCCCAAATCTAGACTGAATGTTTCCCACTGTAATTCCAAGTGCTGAAATCACGTGGACCTAGGACATACCCAGGAATAAGTACCCTAAAAACTGCACTACCTGCATCAATCCAACATTCCCCCAATATCAATGCCAGTTGCTTCAAGAAAAACTACTGTCTTGTCTCTTTAGATTCAAATAGCCATGTTCATAAAATACTACTACTGCTGATGAGTCCAATCATAAAACTAGTGCAGAAGATTTGATGGTTGAAAAATAAGCTACACAAGGCTGTGACATTCCTCTCTGATGTTTAAAATGCGAGAAGTGGGGGTGGGAGATTTCCTGGTGCAGTGCCCTAATGTGTGTGTCACACAGAATGCAGAAGATGTCCAAACCCACAGGACTTCAAAATGAACTCCAACAAGAAGTCTCCATTTCAGGAACCAGAGTATACCAGCCATAAATATCATGACTACACTAACTAATTTTTAGTACAATTCTGAAATATTGGGATGGTTTCAAGTGCCAGAATATGCGTGATTTTTTTTAAGACTAATCATTTTCTGAGGGAGAAAAATTACTTGCAGCAAATAACCAAATTTTCTCAATTGGTAAAAATTATGCCTTGCATAAAAATAAAAGGATTAGAGGCCTCTGTTCTTCCCGAACACCCCCCCATCACCCCTCTCTTTCTCTGAGAAAACCTACACAATACACATGGGGAAAGCTTTCAGAATATGTTCCCACACAATAGACCCCCAGCTATTCAAAATGAGTTTAGGTGTATCAAGAAAATTATACACGTTTTTACAATGGTCTAAATAGATATTAAAGGAAAGTTGCTCCATCTTGCTAGGCACAGCATTCTGAAAGATCACACAGTGAGAAAAATCTCTCACCATATTGTAAACCATAAACTGTGTTTGAAAATAAAATTGTTAATGAAGAAACTGACATTTCTAAAGCTGTTGTTAGAGGTAACCATTCTTGAAATACATTTATGACATGAAATCTTAGAGCTCTCAACCACAAAATGCACTAAATTGCATTACATATGTCATAAAAATTAAAAACTCTAAATGTAGTACCAAGCCTGCTCCTTCAAATTACTTTAAGCTGCTGAATCTATAAAATATATATGGATTTGTATTTTAAAATATATATAATTATATACTTTTTCATGCAAATCCTTTTTTCCCTTTTTTTTTTGCTAGAAACAATAACATTTTACCATTTGGGGAAATATTTCCCTTTTATGAATGTTTTGATGTCAGATACCTTAACTGGCTTGTACTTTAGGGGGACCAAAAGAACTACAATGGAATTTTTTGGGTTTTTTCTGTCATGGGGCTTGAACTCGGGGCCTGGGTGCTGTCCCTAAGCTCTTTTGCTCAAGGCTAGTGCTCTACCACCTTGAACCACAGCGTCACTTCCAGTTTTCTGGTGGTTAACTGAAGACGAGTATCACAGGGAACTTTCCTGCCCAGGCTGGCTTTGAACCACGATCTGAGGATCTCAGCCTCCTAAGAAGCTAGGATTACAGGTGTGAGCCACCAGGGCCTGGCTAGGGAAATATTTTTTTAATCTAAACAAAGAAACTCAGATTCTATATGAATAATGAGAAATTGATTTACTTATCTTAAAAATACAATATCAAAAATCTGAATTGTTCTCCTTCAGTTATCTCTAGTCTCTTTCCTCATTAATAAAATAACAAAAATCCTATTCTGACATGAGGAACTATTAGCAAGAAGAATTCATGTTAAAATTTTAGGCACTAGAAACATTTCCCATAGTTAAAACTAGATTTAAGCTCACTCATCGATCTGAAGCTCTGGTGCTCATTAAGCAAAGTTCAGGTAGCACGTGACCTGCAGTCACTGAAGAGAGCATAAGACTTCCTGGTTCAAAGCTTGAGACCTGTCTTTAAGAGCTAGGGCCCAACATCAGCCTAACAATTCAGGGCCTTTCCTAAACTGAAACTGCTACTCGTAAAATTCAAGGGACTTCTTTTAAAGCAAGAGTATCACTCTAATAGATGCTCCTGCATTTTTTCCCCCTTTTTGGTGCTGGTACCAGTGACTGCACTCAGGGCCATGAGCTCTTACTCAGCCTTCTTGCACAGGCTGGTGGTACTCTATTACTTGAACCATACCCTGCAGTCTGACACGGCTGGTTAATTGGAGATGGGAGTCTCAGATTGTTCTGACCAGCTGGCTTTGAACCATGATCTTCCAAATCTCAGTCTCCTAAAGTGACTAGGATTACAGGAGTGAGCTCCTTAATTTGTCCCCACTCACTGTCATAGCTGCTGCTGCTAGCCTCTGGCTGAGACATGCTTCCATGTATTGCTCCTCGGGAGTCCTCACTTCCTAGTAACAAAATGAACAAGACAGGGGAGGAGGAAATAAAAAACCAAAACAGTAGCAAATGGATTGACAGCAGCAGAAAAAAAGAGGGGGACGACTTCAAAACTTTGGACCTCCAGAGGAAAGGCCTCTGCGGGCATCCTAAGGATTCTGAGCAAATGAACATAAACATAATGATGTCCTATCCATAATAGATAATGTAGAAAATGTTCATCAGCTCAGGACAAAGATCACTACCTTTGAGATTCCAGTACTTCGCTTTCCTCACACACACATCAGGCCACTGTCAAAAAGGAAGGGCATGCAGGATTGGCCTGGCTCACAAAGGCATTCACGCTATACTAAAATTTCTACCAAAACTTAAGTCTTCTCACTGAAAATCAAAAACTGCATCAGGACCAACAAAAGACATGGAGGTATGGAGGAGAGGTCTTAAAAAAGGGAAAGCAAAGGAAGGGGTGACATTGTCCAAAAATAGAAATGTACCTGACTTGGTAACTCCCTCTGTACAACACCTTAATAATAATAAAAAATTATATTAAAAAAAAAGATGATGTGGGCAGAACTACATCTCTCCATGGAGTGAAGGAGTGAAGGAAAACATCTCATTGGACTGGTACACACTGACTAATTGTGCCACTTGCTAACATGTATGGTCTTTGCTACATTCATTTCTACAACTACTACTCCATAGGAAGTACCTTCTGCACCTGCTGATAAGCCACCTAAGAAACAACTTCACTTCAAGAGTTTTGAGAAGTGTCGAGTCCAAGCTTTACCCCCTTGCCTCCTGACTTGTGAAGAGAAGAGCTGTTAGATAGACTTCACGGGGAAAGATCAGGCAACTCAGGCAAGCGGAAGCTCACAGATACTGACTAACTTCACTACATCCTTCAAGTTAGGTGGACAAATGTGAGGGAGTGCAGAGCTACTGCCTAAGAATTCTCTACCTCTCTCCCTGTCACAATGGCACTGACATTTAAGTAGTTAGGGTCTCAGGTTCCACATCTGCACAGTGAGGGCAGCTCCCCATCCCCAACTTCATGACTGCTGTGAAGAGGAAACCACAGAGTATTTACAGAAGATATCCCAGCACATACTATGCAGATATAAGCTCTATTTGTGATATTTATAGTAAACTCAAAGTACAATGAACCCAATGGTTACCTCCTCATCTAGTGGGAGAAAATGCAAATCTGTACCAACATGCGGAAGAAGTTAGGCAAAAGTGCTCAACTTACGGGTCTGGATGGCCTCCTCTGTCTGTGTGCTTGAGCATTCCATATCTTCAACACTGGAAGCTGTGCTTTCATCTTTCTTTCGCTTCTTATGGATAAAAATTTAAAAGACAAAGAGAGAGAGAGAGAGGAGATATGGTCTGATAGTCAAAGAAATAAATACACAAATAACATACACTGGTATACATATGAATATGTCTAAATAGGGCTGTGACAAAACATAGGAAGAATATCCCCAACTTCAATATCATGGTTTGTGAGGAAGAAATGGGAGTGGAACAAAACAGAAGAGAACTTCTAGCTACATATGTAGTCAGTCTGAATTTTGAGTGTTTTACTGATGATCAAGTCTAACTTCATCACTAAAAGCTACATCAGCTGTTGCTGATCACATTGCTGATCAGAGCAACTATCCACAATTGGGGAGGGGGTGGGGGAAAGGAGAGGGGACAGGAGAACTACTTGAGAAATAACACATGCTCTGCCTCACATACACAACCTAACAGTGCTGGTAAAGTCCTCCTCAATAATAAGCAAGGACACATTTCTAACCAATGTTTCTCTTCTACATTACATTTTACTAAATGTTTAAGTAAGAGGGCTACAAACTTTACAGTAAATGAATAACCATCAAAGTATAACACGCTCCTAAAACCTTAAAAAGCATGTGGATTTCCCACCATTCTCTTCGGCCACTCCTCTTCCTATTTATCTTCCCAGCTAGGTATTTTGGGAGACAGTGATGATATCCTGTCACTTTTCCTTCTTCCCAAAGGTGCATGAATCTGTTTTTTATTAAATCCTGTCGCTATAACATACACTACCGAATCCAGTCCAAAGTCAAATTATGTAATGTTTGTCTAAGCACAGAAGGACACTCATAACAAACGTAAAATTTCTGTATTTGTAATAACTTTATCCCATGCTGTTTCAAATTTCAATGTGCAAAAATCCAAAGTTTAATTTATAACTTATCTCATTTTGCTAAAGTAAGTAGAGATAATTTAGGAAACAATCTGTCTCAAATTTCACAGGATCACAATGCAGCAAGGATGTCCCATTTGTATTTCCTAACAATGGACACATTAGAGAATGTGTCCAATGTATGAGAATGTTGCTTGCTCTGACCAGTCTGTGATAACTCTAAAGGAAGATGAACCTGCTGACAACTGCTATGGTCCCTGATGGCGGACATGGGCCCTGTTCCTTAGAGAACTGTACAAGAAGGCTGTACAGTCTGTGCAAGCGCCATTATCTTAAAGCCCTCAAATGGTCAGAACTATTATTATCTATACATCACAATCCTAAATGCCTAAGGTGACTGTGGAAAGATCAGGACTCAGAGAAACCCACCATGCTCTGAAAGAAAAGGTTTTACATATTCAAAACTTAATAACCCTAAGTAACTTTAAAAGGGATTCATTTAACGGATTTGTGTATGAAGGTATTGTTTCTCAATCATAGCTATAAGAGTCACTACAACTTCACATAACTGATAGGAGAGGGGAAAGTGCCTTCCATCTTTCTTTTCCAAAGTGTTGCTTCATGATTACCATCTAAACCCTGCTGGGCTGAACAGATTGGTTCGATAATTACATACAATAACTGCAGTGGGCAGGTAACCCTCAGCTGGCACAGGGCAGCTCCCCTGTGAGAACTTCCATATGCAAACTGCACTGATGGAGTGCATTAGGTACATCTTTCCTGCCGGTGCGCAGGCCTGATTAACGCCAGCCAAGACTCCAAGGTTAGCATGTCAGCAGATTTGTGATGCATTAGGCAGGAATAAACACAGACACTTTTGTTCGTTCAGACCAAAATTAAGGAGGAATATTTCAGTCCTGTATCGCTTTCCATACAGGAGAGAATGCATTTTCTAGGTTTTGGAGGGCAAGTTTTTAAATGCTCATTATAAAAGGAGCTATCCAATATTTTGTACCAAGGAACCTAGTGCATTCATCTTGTTTTCAAGCTTATTTAATAAGAAGGAGCTTTCTTAATCTTCATGCAGGTAAATTACACGGTAATGAAAATCAGACAGTATTCAGCCAACAAAGAAACACCTGTGCTTTAAACAGCATGTATTAGAGAAAAGCAGCGATTACATTAATCCACACTACAACCAGGTAGCTCGGGCCCAACTTTTCTGACAACATATGTAGTTTGGATAGAAAGGGCCAATATTTCTAAAGATCGCCAATTAAAAAACAAAGCAAAACCCTTGAAGTTTAATAGAATCTAAGTATGGCATTCATTTTGTAAGGTAATGAGGAAAATTCCAAACAGTGTTTACAAGCTTCCATCCAGCATCTCCAAATGCTTCCTTTTAATTAGCAGCGTCCTTAGGTTTCAGATAGTTCATGTGTCCTTCCCTTTTAACTGAAAATGGCTTCACAAAGTAACTATGCCAATCTCTGATTTTGTCACATTCTCTCCTAGTGCGCACAGGAGCCTTTATCTGCACTTATAAACAAAAGCAAAATATTGCATGACAAAAAAACAACATAAAATACACTTAGAATTGGCTCTCCTTTCACCTGAGAACAACTAAATTACCTTCCAAAATTAGGTTTATTTCAAAGGGCATTAGTATATATTTTACACTTTGTACTTTTCAAGTGTGCAGATCTGCTAGATTAAAATTTAATTAGCAGCTTCTCACTCCCAATTTAGGAACAGGAAGACATATCAGCTAGATGAATATGGACTGATAATTTACTTATATTGTCAACACTGACTGGAGACCAGTAAAGCCGTTTCAATGCAGAAAAAGAGTAAAAATATTCAGAGGTAAAACCGAAGACTGATTTTCAGTTTCCCAAGTCCAGCCTCCAAATATTACCTTTAAGAAACACCAGGCCGATGCATGGTCTCCAAACTGAGCACTCGTAGGAACGGTTCCCTCCCCCTTATTACAAAAGGCATTCAGAGAATATCCAACCTAACTTTCAAATGTATGGTGTCACGTATGTGCCAAAGAACCTTGAGTAGAAATGCCTGACTGCCCCATCAGTGAACCTTAGTTACCTGATTAGACATCACCATACAAATGTATATTATTTTCAAAGTAATTGTACTCTAACTAAATGCATTGGTTACATGAATCACATGGGACAAAAGAAAAGTCCAACACATCTTCTTTGAAGGGAAAATACAATATTTAAAAATGTTGGCGGGAACGCAGAAGGCCAGTGAGAATGAGCTCAGCATTTCTCAGTTAGCTATGAAGGCAAAGCTCCTTGTTCTCCACAGCCTTCCTTCCCCACACACTTGTGCTGCCTCCCCTTTAGTAGGACCATCATTTCCCAGTTGTATTTCTATTCTGATGTGCTCTCTAAGTGGTGTAGTGCACAGGTGTGTATAGTACACGCAGAGGTGTGGACTTCCTGGAGACTAGTTTCATTCCCTCCTTACTGTGCATGTTCTTCAGGGCAAGGACAGCGGTTGTCCTTTTTCTAACCTCTGAGGAACATAACTGAATAACATGAAATTATCTGTGGATCTGCACCCACAGAGCAATTATCCCACTACAGTTATAATAGTGCAGAGCAGTTTTGGTATCTTACCTTCAAGTGACTCAAAAACTGTGTAGTATTTGAATGGGTACTAAATAATTACAGATATATTTAAGAAAATGTAGGAACAGTGAGAGGAAGAAGAAAAGGATGGAAATGGGCAAGGAGATGAGTGATATGTTCTGCTACAATGCACTAAAGCACTTGCATTCTTTCAAATGAGCTCAGTGATGAAGACTGCAATGAGAATAAGGGATGCTGGAAAGAACGTCCTTCCACCGTGGGGCAGCTCTGACCTCTGCCCAAACAGGCATAGGAAGACTGCCACATGCGTTACTAAGCATGTACGATGTGCCCAGCACTGAGCCAGGCTTCATTCCCAACCATGACACACACAGTGAAGCTTCTATAAAAATTAAACATATATGCTCGATTTCTACACCTGTTTGTCCTTTTGTAAAAGCTGTTGAAAGAAATTCTTTCAGTGCCCTTAAGAACTCTTAGGTAAATACAATATATACATGGCTTTAGTCAATACTTTATTTTGTTATTTGTTTTAATTTAATTTAGATCTTTCACTTGTCAATATTTTTAAGTTACCTACTCTGGAGATAGGAAGATGAAGAGAAAGTATTACTAAAGTAATTCTGTTAAGTATTAACAATTCTGGGGGGAAAGTTTAGCAAAATGTTTAAATACCAAGTCTGGAATGCCAATTCTTTACTAGATTAATTTGTTCCAGTATTACAATATCTTGAAGAATTACTAATTCACTCTAAGAATCTCATCTATGTGTACCAAAAATTAACATTAATCCATACAATATGCCAAGAATTATGAAGGCACTTGTCATGTCACAATATACAAACAGAAGAGCCCTGGTTGAGTGACTATCAGAATAAAAGCACTGTTTTCATAAAAGTAGCAGAATGTGTGGACACACTTGTTTAAGAACGCATCTGTGTCCTCCAGTTTGGCCTGCTACGGAATCAGAGGAAGAGCTACACAGGAGCCTTCCTGTCACTCATCCTCTTCCTAAGAAAACGGCTAATGGGCAGATGACCTGAGAAACAAGGTAGGCCCTGGCCACACATCTACAGGAAGACTACTCCCATGGGAACTTCATCTCATCAACCTTTCAGAGACTAATAACTATTGCACCTCTGAAACAACACATCCAATTTCTTTTCATCCATAGCCTTTTGTGATTCTATCATTCACATCACACAAGTGAACCAGCAGTCATTTACCAAGCTGAAAGACTTCCAGAGATCCAATGCATTAAATATCTAGAAGACTAGTATGTCAGAGTATTCTCTACGATGTCAGAATAAGTATGACATCTCTCATTCATGCTTTCCTCAGAGGGCTTTAGCTCTTGCACCATTAGTGTCAAAAACTTTTAGCAAAGCTAACATGTTTTAAGGACAATTGGTGGGGAGATGCAAACGGGTAGCTAGCTATGCCTTAATTGCCATTAAATTTATCCCTAAAATCACTAGATTTTTTTAAAGTATCTTTAATTTCTCTGAGAAAAATCATTATTTGAATGTGTATTGAGCTGCATGACCCT